CCTCAAACTATTCTGTCTATCGTTTCTATCGCTCACGATTTTCGGGAAAACCTGACACAACCAGCCGCAAAGGAATGTCGTCTACTCCGCGGACTTACGATGGCGGGTCTCACAATGTTGAGTCAACAACATCTGAGTAACTCTAGTTACCGAGTTTAGCCGCATTCGCAGCGTTGTTCAGAGAGGACCATCGGGGGACGTATGCCCCAGGTCCCTCACACGTCTTCTACTCTCCACTCGGGTGGCTCAACGCGGAAGAAGATATAGATCACCTGCGAATCCTTCTCACCCGCAAGGCGCTAATGCTCAAGGCACATGCGACATGGGCATCCGGAGACCTTTCTCACCCACCTAATGTTCACCCCAACTAGAGGATGCTTCGTAACAGCAATCTCATCGCCAGCCAAACCAAAACTATTTCACATGGAGGTACGTGCGATCAGGCCTACGGGAATCGACTCGATTCCCAACCCTTAATCCGGGTCCATGTCTGAAAAACTTGCGTCAAAAAAACCTCGTCAAAAAAACTTCACGACAAAAAACCCTAACAAAGAAAACTTAACCAAAAAAATCTGAATGCAGAAAAAACTTGTGTCAAAAAAACCCCGTCAAAAAAACCTCACGACAAAAAACCCTAACAAAAAAAACTGGATACAGTACCCATCAAGTAAATGCCAAAACCCGATTATTCAGCTAGCACTAAACTACAACAAAACCAATGATAACATACTCAATTCCCCATAGACAAATAACGAAAATTAGGATAAAAATTAAGTCTTATCCAGGTTTTTTTGACGGAGTTTATTTTGACCGAGTGTTTTTCACGGGGAGATGTGTTTGAGAAAAGTTTTTTTGGTCAGAGTTTTTTTGACGGGGTTTTTTTGACGGGGTTTTTTTGACGGAGTTTTTTAGACATGCTCCCCCTTCATTCACCCCAACACCATGAGTTTCACCCTGGAGATGGGTCTCTGTGGCCGAAAGTGTTCGTTCCGCAGCCACAAAGCAATCCATTTCACTACTCCCTTTCCCTCGTCATTCCGATTCCACGATCGGAACCACGTACTCATCATAACCCCGAAAGGGATTATTGCCACCAACTGATGCGGAGCTCCTAAAACATCCGCTTGACACCAGGGCCTTCTCCCCTTTGGCTGAACCTTTCGGCGTCTGTGGGACATCTATTACCCCACAACCAGCAATCAGCTCGACGGGATCACGGGGGAATAAGCCCTTTTCTAGCATTTTCACCTAGCCGTTGGTCCTTGATCTAAATGGACGGCGCCCTTTGGAATCACCCAGTTTGAACGCCTATACGTCGGCCCTGGACTCCCTAACACACCTGGGTGGGCTTCCAAAATCGGTGACAGCCATCGTTAGCGTCGTCATAGTGTTCCAAACCATGGTCTTACCCTACCACGTTTCTTCCCATGACATGATTGGTCTCACTCACTTTAGGAGCGGCCCGATTGGCCGTCGTCCGATGCCATATTCATCTCTCGCTCGGCTCTGTCAGTCGGCGTCAGATGTCTCCTCCTACCACTAGTGACTTTCTCCAGTGATACTCACTAGTAACGGGAAAATCTCGTTACGATTGCCCGGGCTCTTCCGATGGGTTTTGTACTGGTTTGAAGTAGGCATCCGAGTCGTAAGCGAACTACCAAAATAGTGTGATTTAGAATGTTTCCAGTAGTGGCTAAGTGAACCTACTATTTGAACACGTTACATAAGCTTATTATCAGTGCTGCAGCTAAACCTTAAGCGATATACTAGTTTCCACATTTTCGCTCTTCCAGTTCTAGACGTTTTATGAAAGAGTATGTTCTGTGATGAGGCAGAATCTTGCGCTCCCCCCCCCCCCTGCCGGCTAATTAATACAGCTTATTTTTCCTCGGTTAAGTTAGGTTTAAGTTACTCTTTCTTCGCCACCGTGGGGCAACCCATCCCCAGATATTACTTACCCCCCCCCCCCAGCACTCACGCATCAAGGAAGAGGATCCCACGTGACCCCGGAAGAAAGAGACATCCCCCGTGCGAGATCCCCAGATGAGAAGGAGAAGGACGCCCGATGGCCCCCCCAAAACTAGAAAAGAAGAAGTGAAAAGAATTGGCAGCTATCACTCGTGCCACAACTGCCCCACGAGTCACTGCCTCATAAAGCAACGAAGTTACCCCCAAAGACTCCCGTGAAGAAGTGCCCAGGAAAGACCCTGAAAAAGTGTTAATAAGGAGTAAAAGTGTGAAGAGACAAAGTGTGAGAAGAGAAACTGTGTGAAGGAGAAATACTGTGAAGGACTAAATTTTGTGTGTGAGAGGAATTATTGCGAAAACTGGTGAAGGACAAAGAGAGTAATCTTGTGTGGACGAACAGTTGAGAGTAATCTCGTGTGGAGGACCCGATTTGCCGAGAGGAAAATTGTACGGCTGAACATCTTGGAGAGGATCCGAGGAGAGCCGAGAGAAGGAAGGAAGGAGGCAAAAGCCCAGAGGAAAACCGAGAGAATTCTGAGGACACCATTCCCCGTGAGTGCCTCATTTTTTATTCCCTGCCCCAACGAATTTCCCTGCCCCGTGCCAATTTCCCCCCAACGGTGAGCCTCCAGTAAATGTATTTTAGTTGTAGATTAAGCCTCCTATTAATTATTACCTTTTCAGTCGGCCCCCTTCACTTCTCCCCCTCTTTCCAGAGTTAGAGTCACCCCTTCTTTTTATTATATTATTCCGTGTAGCCGCAAGTGAGTTGGCCTTACCCCCCACCCTCGAGTTATATTAGTTAAAAGGCCTGGATTATTTTGATGTAATAGTTTGTAAAAAGAGTAGAATACAGATAGTCAATTTATAAATCCCCCCCGAGTAATCCTTGAGAATCCCCTCTCTCTTATCATTTCAGGTCCTCCCAGAAATTATAATAAATTTCGCTTCCATTTTTCAGAGTATCGTAAATTCCCCAATATCGTGCCTTCGCCGGGAATTATTATATTTTAATTCCCCGGACAAGGTCACAGTTCTTAGGAGTTCACACCTTCGAACCAATTCGTGAGCAGTAGATGAGTAAGGCCGGTTCTGGATAGATAGTTTATGCAGCCGACCCTATCACTTCACCTCTCGCTCTCTTTCTTGCACCCATGAGGCGGAGTTATTGAAATATAGTAGGAGTCTATATCTATATCGAGTTCTCGATCTGCTAGCGCCTATGGACTGTTATCGGCTTTCTATCGCTATCTAATTATCGATAGCGCTCGGCCCTATCGACCGGATCTGTTATCGACCACCCTACCTTACCAACCTCCCGACGTTAACGGAGACCAACCATATTAAAGAATCCCGACCCTCTCTCCGTAACTCACGCGTTCCATCTTTACATCTGCCACTTTGCCATTTCGCGGGAAGTCTCCAGGTGAGCTCCGGGTAGTTGGCTACTCATTAATAAAAATTAATTATTTAATTTCGCCAAATCGTTTGACAGTCGTCAGTCGCTGTATGTCAGACAATTTTTATCGTTTGTCAGATTAAATTGATTTTTTATCGATTTTTTAAATTGCGGGAGCCAAAAACACAAAAATTAGGCCCCAAAAAATAAAAATTCACCTAATTCAGTTTAACAATAACTCAATCAATAAGAAATCGTTTGTAGGTGATTGACAGGTGATTCGTCAGACTTCTACAAACTGATCTTAAACCAAAAAATAGAGAAAAACTATTTAGAAATATGAAAATGGCGCTGAGTCAGAATTGCTCGGAAGTGGGGATAACCGCTACATAAGTAGTCTCATCATCAGCTTGTTATGTAGTTACGTGGTTATGTTTTAACGTCAGCGATTTGTTCAAAATTTCGATCTAATTCTAGCTATTTGGATGTTTTGGCAAAGAAGTTCGCGATTCCCAAGTTAATGGAAAACAAATAGCGACAGAACAACTCGACAAAAATAACCTACTGTGCTTCACTTTTTGAAGGCTCTAATACAAAAATTCATTTCTTTCTATTGTAAACAAGTAATCAACTGACTTCAACATGACTGTGAATGTTTTTTGTAATTGTACCATGAAATCTTCATTCAGAAATGAAGTTATTCTTCACGTTCAAGTGGCAAAAAAAACGGGTATTATCATCTTCTTGTTATTGTGAGATTTATCACTCATATTTATCATTACGTCTCAATCTTCATGATTATTTGGTGGAAGAAAATGGGAAGAGGAAAAAAAACCGATCGGGCGATAGGAAAAGAGCCTGCAATGCTCAACGAATAATTCCTGCCAATTCGTTACTTTTTCTGGAATGAAAAAAAATTACCATGTTTCACGAGTCAATTTGGAAATAAATTCAAGGATATTTTCGCTGTGGATTTTTTGGTGAAGAAATAATTTCATATTCAGTGATTATTTCATGTTGTAGATCTTGTCGTTGATCAACCAAAAATTAATAGAATAGAGATTGTAATTTAGACATATGACTTATGACTTATTAACTGTAGACGGTCCTCGAAAAGAGGAGTGCACAATGAACCTTACGGCGATTTTGCGCTCTGCTTGTGGCAGCCGTCTAGTCGAGAGGTGTCAGCATCTGTGCCCCACTTGCAAATTCGTAGAGCCCGTTGAAGCCGTCCCTGTCGATGTAAAGGTCATTAAGGCAAGTGGTCTCAAAGATATCCAAACGCAGTTTGTCAAGACTACTGCATTTTGTACTGAGATAGTGGCGGTCCTCCTCTACCAAACCGCATCTCAGGCAGAGAGGATCATCTCCCTTGCCGATTTTCGCCAGGTAGGCAGCTAACGGCCACTGTCCCGTGATAAGCCCCAGTAGAGCGTGCAGCTTTACCCTGGGACACCAGTACGTCAGCCAGCCTCCTGGAGGGTTCCCGGAGGAGGGATCTTTGGATTATTTTCTTTATGTAGTCGGAATGAACGTCAAAGTGGTCTTTTTCCACCGGCGCCATTGCCAGACATCCCGGTTTGGCCAGCATATCGGCTTTTTCATTGCTAAGTATGCCGGCGTGACCTGGTATTCAGGACACCTTTAATTTGTTGCAGGTTGCAATTCCATCCATCAACTCTGTGCAGTCGTTTACCAACCTGGAGCCACTCTCATGTTTGAGTAGGGCCCTTAGTGCCTGCCTGCTATCCGAGTAGGTGTGTATTGCCTTGCCTTTGTGCTGCCTGGCCAGTATGATTCTGGCGCAGGCTCTCCAGGCAGCCAATTCTGTTTGAGCCGGGGTGGCGTGTGGGTCCAGTCCAAGGGCCTTCTCAACGGAAGGTCGATCGGACCACACTCCTGCCCCCGCTCGGCCGCACATCTTGGAACCGTCCGTGTACCAGACCAGCCCGTGAGGTGGCGACCATTTAGAGGCCGCCCACGCATGCGTGTCCGCAGTGCTTAGGTTAACCTTGAATCTCTTGTGAGGGTGGCATTCAGTTTTGTATGCGTCTCCCCCGTTGGACAGTGAACCAAGGAGCACCCTCTCCTCCGTGAGGAGCGAAGCATGCCCCTTCCTGGCTTCCCTCCAGGTGCCTGTTAGCTGCAGCCTGGCTGCTGTTGACAGCGCCACATCTCTTATGATGAGGTGTGGCGGCTGCATGAATAGTAACGCTTCCAATGCCGAGGGTGGAGTCGTTTTGAGCGCCCCCGTAATTCCGAGCAGAGCAAGCCTCCCCAGTCTATCGACCGTTTTCCTGTGGCAGGCCTTGTACATGGCCGGCCACCAGGCAACAGCTGCGTAGGTTAGTTGTGGGAGCATGATAGCTGTATAGATCCATCTTACGACCTTCGGTCTTAGCCCCCAAGTGCTTCCAAACATCCTGTTGCAAGCCCAGCATGTCCCTATGACTTTGCTGGTTTGCATATTGATGTGTTTTTTCCAGCTGAGTCTTCTGTCGATCCATAGACCTAGGTACTTTACGTCTTCTGAGAAGCCCAGTACTGTGTTGTAGATGGTGGGGGGTTTAACCACCAATCTCCTCTTGCCAGTGAAGAGCACCATCTCGGTTTTTCCGGGGTTAACCTTGAGTCCATTAAATGTGCACCATCGCTGGACGTGATTTAGTGCATTTTGCATTTTGAAAGATAGCGTACCGTTGTCCTTACTGGACACAAGCAGCGCAACGTCGTCTGCATAGCCTATCGCCTCCACCCCTAGCTCTTCCAGCCCAGTCAGGAGCCCGTTCACAACGGAGAGCCACAACAGGGGAGTGATAACCCCCCCCCCTGCGGGCAGCCCCTCCCCGCGAGCGCCCTGACCGTGCTGTCGCCCAGGGAGGAGGAGACCGCTCTTGTTCGGAGCATAGCAGCTATCCATCTAATGATGGGCTGTTCGATGCCGAACGATGCTGCTGCTTTCTCCATGGTGTTAAAGGAATTGTTGTCGAAGGCTCCCTCGATGTCAATGAAGACACCGAGCGTGTCCTCTTTTCTTGCCTTGGCACCTTCGATCTTGCCCACCAGGTGGTGCAGGGCAGTCTCCTGCCGACTTGGTAGGCGTGTTGAGAGAGGCTGATTGGATTAGTCCTCAGAGCCCCCATTTTGATGTGCCTATCGACGAGCCTCTCCAGTGTTTTTAGGAGGAAAGAGCTCAGACTGATAGGCCTGAAGGATTTGGCGTTGTCATAGCTGCACTTACCCGGTTTGGGGTTAAAGACAACTCTGACCTCCCGCCATCTATTAGGCACATGCCCAAGAGCAAGGCTTGCTCTTAGCACTGGCAGCAGCCTGTGCAGGAGCTGCGGACCCCCCCTCTGCAGGAGCGCCGGATATATCTCGTTGGGGCCCGGGCTCTTATACATGTCGAAGGAGTCCACAGCCCACCTCAGGTCCTCCATCGTAATGATCTACAAGGCTATGCGCCAGTATGGGTCAGCCCTCTCTGGTTGCTCCAGAACCGTCCCCGTGCACGAGACCCCCCTCTGTATATTGAAGTCCGGGAAGTGCACTTGGATCAGATGTTCCAGAATGTCACTGGGCTGTGTGATGATCTCTCCGTTAGGGAGTATGATTTCCCCCAGCCCTTGCATTGCTCCCCCCGAAAAGACCCTACAAAGCCTGGCTACCTGTTGTAGGGCCTCCAGGTCATCACAGAAGTCCTTCCAGGCGGTTTCCTTCGATTTTTTGATGAGTCTTTTGTACGCCCTCTGCGTATTTCTGTACTGAGTCCATTCCTCATGGCTCTTTCTTCTGTAGTCATGGTCCCAGAGTGGCCTGGAGAGCACTCTGAGTCTATCCGGTTCACGGCTTCACCATGCCACTTTTTCCCCTGCCTACTCGCTTTTATTGGGGATGCCTTGTGGAAGGCGCCGATCAGGGCATCGTGGATTGTGTCCACTTCATCCTCTAATCTGCGCACGTTGCTGGGCCTCAACCGCCGTTCCCCCAACCTTACCTCCAGCCCCTCTTTAAAAGTGGTCCAGTCGGTAGTCTTGGGGTTCGTGCGTGCGAGACCCTGCATCTTCCGGGCTCTACATTCAATGCTAAATTTGATGCGTCTGTGATTGGATAGTGTGTCCTCCCGGTCCACCTTCCAGTCAACGCACCTTTGCGGTAGCCTCCTGTCACACAGTGTAATATCGATGACACATTGGCAGCGAGAAGTGACGAACGTGAGACTGGAACACCTGTTTAGGACCTCCACGTCCACGTCTGCCAGGTATTCCGAGAGGGATATGCCTCTGGCGTTGTTGTTCTCACTGCCCCAAACCACGTTCTGCGTGTTTGCGTCGCAACCCACGATGAGTTCCTCCAGCTTGTCATGGACGAGGTTGGCTTGTGCCTTAGTCAGGGACGGCTCAGTGTAGTTGCTTGGTATGATTGCTTCCTTGCCGCCACCTCTCGCCGCCATCCCGAACCAGGTGACTCCAAGTCCAGCCTTCACCCTTTGCTTTTTTCGGGTCGCAGTGTCTTCCGGCGGAGTGGCTCCACTATCAGATCTGAGTCTTTTGGACCCATTCCCCCGTTCCTCTCCACCTTCGGCTGTCCCCGATTTGTTTGGAGAGCACTGCTCCCGCAAGTCCTCTGATGCCATTCTGGCCTTGCGGACCCTGCGCTTCTCCGCTCCTGTGCGCCCTTTCCGCTTCTTTATGTCTGTGGGTCCGACTTTGGCGACTTCCTCAGTAAGAGGAGTCAACTCCAGCGTCTCCATTTCCATTTCCGTAGTCTTCTGTGCCCCGGTCGGAGCATCTGAGACTGTAACGGCCGGTACTACCTGTAAGGTCTCAGACGTTCCCTTTGTGAGGGCTTTTGCGTCAGAAATGTTTGTATTAATTGGGTCTATATGGTTCCACGAGTATCCTCGGAATTAAAGGTTGGCCCCAACAGAGCCGGGACGCTGAGGTAAGGCCTAAATATGGTGGGGTGCGGCTTGGTGCTCCAACGGTCTTGTTTGCAACACTGTAACCCCAGTGCCATTCAGCCATCGGCAGGAATCACTTCCACGTTAGCTTGGGGAGTTGGTCTGCGGCGCGGCCTTCGGTTCCCTCCAGGTTTTTAAGCCCTTCGGTTCCCTTATAGCCCACGCTGACCGTCGATTCGGCAGGACTGGCGAGAGCTAGTCACATATCTCTATTTTTCCAGCCCTCAACCTGCCCCACCTCTCCGTCGGCCGTCCCTCTATCCGCCACCTGTGGACGCACCCGATTGGCGCTCAACCTTGTCCCTCTCGTCTCGTTTATAGAGCGCGTCGAGGGACGTTCGGGAATTTAGACATACTAGAAGTTTATTGTTCTTGGATAATCAAGTAATCGAATAGTTGCATTGGAAATTATTTAAATAATGAATAATTTGTCGCTTCACGAATGTTATAAGATGTTAACATTGTATCATTTTATCTCTCATTGGTAAATATTATATACCTTGTATAACGCATATTTAACAGAAAATGTTCTGTCAGAGCGACAATAGTTATCTTCCAAAATCGATTGAATTTAACTATTTTATATTCAATTGTGTACAAACTTATGATGGTCGCACTTTTGATGACTGTTTTTGCTTTTGTTAAAAGTGTATGGAAATGGGTAATTGAAAAGAAAAAAAAAACAAAATTGGCATAAAAACATTTATTGAATTAGTACATTTCTTTCCTGTATATAACACTTGGCTTCATTAGATTTGAACGATGGATGACGTCCAGATGAATTCACACAGACCAAATGTTATGAGGAATCCAATGCAGCTCGGAGTTCGCTCCTTTTGGAGTTGTTCAAATCTTGAATTCCTGTGACACAATTCATAGGATGTCTAATAATGAAGAAGAATTACAACAAACTGAGGGAACGGTAAACATCATAGAGGGTTTGGCAGATCCCTACTTTTTTTGTCAAAAAGAATAGTCATTCTCGAACACGGAAAAATATTCTTGATTGCATAAAGTATCTGCGGTGGACATTGTAGTGTATTGTAATACTAAATCATAAATATAATTGAGAAGTTTCATCAGTTTTTCTAAAATCTCGAAAGTTCCCTATTCGCTAGGAAATTACTTTGAATTATTTACTGAGCTGTTAATCATTTTTTTGTTGTTTTCATTGGAATGCTGGATGAAAAATATTATATAGAAAAAATGAAAAAAATTCATTTTATCTGCATAATTTCTACATCAAATTTTTTCTCTTTATTTGTGTCAAAAAGATGAAAAATCCAATTATAGTTGGAATTATCTGAATAAAAATCACTATTCAATGCTCCACTTACAACGTAAGATGATGATTCTCTACTACGATGCATAACTACTTTTCTCTTCTTTCTGTAAATATTGTTCTTCGATCGGATCACCTGTTACCGATGTAGTCGGTAGTAACTAATTAGAATATTTACATTTTTAGGATAACGATATTTCAATAAATTGAAGCAGTTCTCAGCATCATCTGTCGACGTTAACATCGGTACTTGGTCCTCTGGAAAAAATCTGTGCCAGAGAATTCTTAACTAATTAATGGTCATAAATTATCAAAATGGATTCAATAACAATCGTAAATGATAAAATTTCTCAATGAAATTTTTTGAAAACATTCTTTACAACAGATCTATTCAATAGCATTCCAATCACATTTTGCATCGAATTGCATTTGAATTTGCATTGCTTTTGAATGGATAAAGAGTTGAAATTGTTAGCATTAAAAAAATCATTTTCGACCAGAAATTAATGTCCAGAAAAAATTTGCATTTTTTCTAGCTTGTTATATTAATAAAGACAAGTCGGAAATGAGAATATTTGGTCTTGCAGAGTTTCAATTTTTCTCTCAGTGTATTAAAATTTAACGAATTTTCATGAGATGATAAAATGTGATGAATTTGTCAGAAAAACCACTGATGACATGTATAATAAAATAAATTGTTTAAGTGTCACAATTCAACTCACTAGAAATTTACTCAGACATAGGCAGAAAGACCTCTCAGGACTGGTATTGCGATTTTCCCAGTATTGCGATCTGCCACGTTATGACTCGAGTATATACAGGGTGTCCCACAAGTGCATGCTCATCCTTTACCAGCATGTAAAGGGGGTGATTCTGAGCCGAAAAGTCCTCTTCCACTTTTGGATCAGAAGCCCCCCCCCCCCCCCCCGGAGATATTACGGTAAATAGGAGAGGCAATGACGTTGCGACGTTAAACGGCAGTACGTCCGTGTGGCTCCGCACACATAGCAAGCTGCCTGGAAGGGGCGTCGCTCTTGCATATATCGGAGCCCAACGCTGCAGCGTCATTGGCTCCATATTTACCCCAATATCTCCGGGTGGGTGCTTCTGATCCAAAAGTGGAAAAGGACTTTTCGGGTCAGAATCACCCCCTTTACATGCTGGTAAAGGATTAGCATGTACTTCTGGGACACCCTGTATAGATCATACAGAGTAGTTCCATTTTTACGGTGGACGGTGTCATCTGGATCACGGTGTAGTTGCTGTCATACAACCACCATTGTCCGTCTACTAAACAATAAACAACATATCTTTTCCTTGCGAGTTATTACCCCTGCTAATCTGTGAAAAAATGACAATA